TCCTTGCAAGGACCGTGGTCCATGCGGTGAGTGTCCCCAGTGTTTATGTGTGGGGCCAAGAGGACAGGGGTCTGTTCCTGCTCTGGTCTTGACACCCACCCCTCTTCCCATTCCAGGCCATGGAGCAACTGCTGGTGAGTGGGCAGCCCCTGCTCATCTTCCTGGAGGAGGCCCCTGGGGTCCAGGGGCCACGGCTGTCAGCCCTGGGCCAGGCCTGGCTGGGACTGGGGGTGCAGGCAGTCCAGGTGGGCATTGTCCCAGATGCTATGCTGGTGCCAGTAGCCGTCACCTATGACCTGGTTCCAGATGCTCCACGAGACGTACACCATGTAAGACCCTCCTGCCCCTGGGGACAAGTAGACACCAGCTCCAGACAGAAGGCACAGTATTGTTAGGGCTGGGGTCAAAACCGGGGTGTGTATGAAGAAATTCTCCCTGCAGTCATCATCCTGTGGCCCAGGAGAGGTGGCGTACTCAGGCTCTCCCTCCCTGCAGGCCTCAGCTCCCCTGGGGCTGTGGAGAGCAGCTCTGGCCATTCTGTGGAGCCTGTGCAGCTGCTGGGGCTGTGGCCGCCGTGTCTGTGTCCGCGTGCATCTTGCCCAGCCCTTCTCCCTGAAGGTATGGAGCCAGATGAACAAGGCTAAGAGTGCCTAGGGTCTGTCCCGGGGCATCTGACAGTCTGGCCTCAAAGCCACTGCAGGGATAGCCTTACTCTACCCCAGGTGGGCTGTGTGCAGGTCTCTTGGTGGGCCAGAGCAGGCCACCTAAGAACCTTGTCCTGGGCAGGAATACACCAGCAACACCAGAAGCTGCTGGGGCAGCAGGCAGACCCTGGAGCAGCTGCTGCAGCCCATCGTGCTGGGCCAATGGTAGGGGCAGGGGAGTGTGTGCATCTTGGGGGCAAGGCAGGCAGCCCCTTCAGCATCAGCTTGTGTAGCTGACACCCCTCCCCCCATATACACACGCACAATCACACATCAGCAGCCTTTCCTTGGGTCACCTGGAACAGTACCAGGCACTTGCCTTGCCAACAGTCTGCATGTGGCATGTGGCACACAGGCCTGGAAGGGGCTGGGAGTTACATGTGCCATCCCCTGCCCTGGGGCTGGGATGGGAAAAATGCTATCACCTTTGAGAAAGCCCTGGGATTTTCTGCAATTGTTTCTAGGTTTGGTCCTTTCATTCTGTGATCTATGTCTATTCCAGTACTGTTGTCCCAGACACTGAGAAGGAGCAAGAGTGGACCCCAGTAACTGGGCCTCTGCTGTCCCTCAAGGAAGAGGACCAGCTTCTGGTCAGGAGGCTGAGCCGTCACATCCTGAGTGGTGAGGGTAAACTAGATCTGGGCCTTGGGGGGTGGGTCTCTGAGCGGTCCCTTCTCTCTGTGGGATGGCCAGTTGTTGGGACCCTCTGTTCCAAGTGTGTGTCTGCACCTGAGCCACCCTCTCTCTGTGGCACAGTTGGGATATTCAAAGAGTGGAACCCTCCCTCTGCCCCCAAGAAGTGGGGCAGCCAGGGAGAGCATGAGGGAGCAGCTGAGTAGACACATACAGCCAACTGAGCCGAGGAAGATGAGCTGGGTTGATGCCTGGGCTGTAACCACCTACCCAGAGTCACACCCAGCCTCGCCTCGGGCTCATTACCTCATCTCTCTGAGCTTGAGTCTCCTTAGCTGTAAATGGGGATGGTGTTAACTGAATGGAGTAATGCATGTAAGGGGCTTAACACTGTGCCTGCACAGGGAGGCTCTTGCGGCATTCTGTTATCTTCTCAAGTGCCCCTTTTGTGGTGGAGACTGGGTTGGTGGGTGGGTACTGCAAGATCCAGGGAAGGCCCCTGAGCTGTTTGCCTGGCTCTCAGCATATGTATGATAAATGCCAATTCTTGGGGCCTGCTTTCCTCCTCCCTGGGGTGGAGTTGGAGCTTGCCAGGTGATGGAGGGACCAGGCTCCTGGGCCTCAATCTCTGACCAGCATCCCACTCCGGCCGCAGCCAGCGTGGCAAGCTCGGCAGTGATGAGCACAGCCATCATGGCCACACTGCTGCTCTTCAAGCACAGGAAGGTAGGGTGCAGTGTGGTGGGAGCTGGGGGAGGGGGTGTGGCCCTCCTGCTCAGCCTTGCTCTGCCCACCCAGGGCGTGTTCCTGTCGCAGCTCCTGGGGGAGTTCTCCTGGTTGACTGAGGAGGCACTGCTGCGTGGCTTCGATGTGGGCTTCTCTGGGCAGCTGCGGTGCCTGGTGCAACACACCCTGAGCCTGTTGCGGGTGCACGTGGCCCTGCTGCGCATCCACCAGGGGGACTTGCTGGTGGTGCCCCGGCCTGGCCCAGGCCTCACGCACCTGGCACGCCTGAGTGCTGAGCTGCTGCCTGCCTTCCTGAGCGAGGCTGTGGGTGGTGAGTCCTGAGGGCTCAGGGTGGGGGGATGTGTGTTTAGGGGTGAAGGGAATGGCTCCTTGCTCATGCTGGCCCCTCTTCCCCCAGCCTGTGCTGTGAGGGGGCTGCTGGCAGGTAGAGTGCCGCCTGAGGGGCCCTGGGAGCTGCAGGGCATAGAGCTGCTGAGCCAGAATGAGCTGTACCGCCAGATCCTGCTGCTGGTACATCTGCTGCCACAAGACCTGCTGCTGCTGCAGGTCAGTGCCCCCCACCCCTGCTCCCAGCCCCCAAGCTCAGCTGGGTCCTGGGCCTTCCCTGCTTGATTGTGGAAGGTAGCCCATCCCTGCCTGAGCCCTACCCTTAAGACCTCGTGTTGTGGTAGGTTTGGCCTTGCCCTGCCTCTGGCCAGGCCCTTGCCTATGTGCCTGGCTCTCCTGAGGCCATATGGGTACCTCTTTCTCCCCAGCCCTGCCAGTCGTCCTACTGCTACTGTCAGGAGGTGTTGGACCGTCTCATCCAGTGTGGACTTCTGGTTGCTGAGGAGGTAGGCAGGGCAGTTGCAGACAAAGCCCCTGCCTAAGGCCTGACCTCCTGCAGCCTCCCACCCTGAGTGACAGCTGCCCCAGGCTCCTCTTCTGCTCCGAGTGTGCTGTGGGGGTGCAGCCTCTGGCCTAGCAGAGAAGCCTCCACCACTGTGCCTTGGGATATGACCACATCTGCCCTGGGCCCATGTGTGTCTCTCAGGAAGGACTGGACATGTGTACCTATGAGGCTCTCTGCACACCTCCTATGCCCATATTTCTTGTTCACAGGGCTATGGCCCTTGAGGGCAGGTGCTCACTTCCTCTCACCCTGCAAGTTGCCCCAGCAGGTGCTATGACCTGGCGTGGATCTAGGCATCCTCTTGGGCTCCCTAAGTCTGTTTTTACTGTTTTCACCTGCATGTACCTGGTTTGGGGGGTGTAGCGCTGATCCCTGGCCAGCCTGTCAGGGACCAATGGCTCCCACGGTCCCCAGACCCCAGGCTCCCAGCCAGCCTGCGACACAGGGCGACAGCGTTTGAGTTCAAAGCTGCTGTGGAAAACCAGCGGGGACTTTACTGATAGCGACAGTGACGACTTCATGGAAGCCGAGGGCCGGTACTTCAGGGTGTGTTGGGAGAAGCTACCCTGGGAAGGAGTTGGTAGGGAGGCAGTGGGGAGCTGCCCTCACCCTGGTTTGTCCCCTTCCAGCTCGGCCAGCAGTCGCGCTGCCCTGACTTCTTCCTCTTCCTCTGCCGCCTGCTCAGCCCACTGCTCAAGGCCTTCGCACAGGCTGCCACCTTTCTCCACCAGGGACAGCTGCCCGATACTGGTGAGGCCCTCACTTCCCTTGCAGTCCTCAGGGCAGGGGCTCTGCCTGTGTAGGGCCCTGGGTCTAGGTCTTGTCTCTTCTGCAGAGTCGGGCTACACAGAGCAGCTGTTCCAATTCTTGCAGGCCACTGCCCAGGAAGAAGGGATCTTTGGTGAGTTCCAAGCAGCCAGCCCAGGCTCCAGGAGGCAGGGGTGGGTTTGCTGGTGGCTGCTGCCCCCTGCTGGGCAGTGACAGCCCAACTCCAGGAAGATGGTCTTCAGTCCGGTCTGAGCCCTATACCTGGATTGTTCCTTCTTTAAACAAGAGGAAGAGAGAAGCCTGTGCCCAGTGGCTCCCTGCCTTCCCTCCCCAGAGCCTTCATTTCTCTTCTCCCTCTAGAGTGTGCAGACCCAAATCTTGCCATCAGTGCTATCTGGACCTTCAGAGACCTGGGGGTAAGAGGGGCCCGTGTCACCCCATCTGTCTCCCTGCTTCTACCCTGATAGAGCTGCTTAGGGAAACCCAGCTATGTCCCCCACCCCCACCCCCACCCCATGGGGCTGGCCCTGATGCTGCCTCATTAAGACCCTGGGATTCACCTGATATCTCCCAGGAGTAGATGTAGTGATGGTAGGTTGGAGAAGGCTGTGTGGTTTTCCTGCCCCTCTTGGTCTCCCAAACCACTGCCTCATTCTACTCACGGGCAGCTCACTGGGGGATGGTTTGAGAGAGATGATAGAGCATTTGCACTAACACACTGAGGCCAGTGGGACCAGAGGTCTCAAGGAGGTTTCTGGGGGACAGGTTTAGCCCCTGGGACCTGTGGGCAGTCCCCATGGTGAGGGCACTCACAGCCCGTCTTCATGGCCCAGGTGCTGCAGCAGATGCCCAGCCCTGAAGGCCCTAGGCTCCACCTGTCCCCTGCATTTGCCAGCCAGGACAATCAGGAAAAGCTGGAACAATTCATCTGGCAGTTCATCTGTAGCTAGAACTATGGGACAGAGCCTGTGCTGAGACTTCTCAGCCCCAGAACACAGCTGCATCTGGGAGCTAGACGACTGAGAGGAAGCTGCAAACCCTTAGCTGGACTATAAAATCTTTGAGGTTTGATTGTCTCTTGCTGTCTTTTGCTTTCTCCATCCTCAGGTATGATAAAAAAGGGTACTAAAACAAGTCTCTTTTGCCAAGTCTGGCAGTATCTTTCTGGTGTGCATTCTTCTCCACCCCTTTGAAAATGCCCCATCTCGCCCCATGAAACAAACCCTAAAAAAAAAAAACAGTAGCAGAAGCCCAGCTGCTGCTTTGGCTTGACAGATTTATTGAGGAGCACTCTATCTTTCTCCCTTCCTCCTAGAAGAGCCTTGGGGGGGCTGCCAACAACCCATGTCTGGGTATTTCCCTGTGCTGGTCTGAGTGGGAGCAGGTGCCCACAATCTTGTTTTAAGTACAGGGTCTGTGCAGGAGCCATCACACCACCTTGTTGACGATGACACCTAGTTCTTCAATCTCACACTGGACTTCATCTCCCTTCTGCAACAGAGCAGGCTGTGAGAAGTTGAGCCCTTTACCCTCTCTCTCTTTCCCTTTCTCACTCATTCTCAATCTCTCCCCCCACCTCCGACACACACACATACACAAACCTGAATTTCTCAAGTCTGAGCCAACCTGCCAGGCCTTCTGGGTCCTTGCTCCCTTTCTTCTTCTTAGCTAACGTACCTTGAGGAAGACAGGAGGTTTTCTGAACAGACCAACACCTGGTGGGGTCCCAGTCAGGATGACATCCCCTGGGTAAAGAGTGACAAACCTGGGGCAAAGCAAAAGGAACAGGTGAGACCAGCGGCCTAGGAGGCCACAACCAGGGATGAAGGGCTAGGCTCAGCCTCCAATTTGGGGGGGTGGGGGCTGGCCAAGACAGGCTCTGTTCTACTCACCGGGAGACCCATGCTATCAGCTCTTCCGTCTTAAATACCATCTGACTGGTGTTGCTGCTCTGGACCACCTCCCCATTCACCCGGCAGCAGATCTTTAAGTTGTGTGGATCTGAAATGCAAAGTTTCCCCTCAACTTCTTTCCCATATTTAGAAAAAAACTGTAGGGAGGCTTTGTGACTTAACAGGCAAAAGGACTTTGTGCCCACTTCAATTCAGCACTCTACCCTGGAACTTTCTATATAGACATGGCCTCCTCAGGTCTCCCTGCATCCCCACCACCCAGCAGAGTACCAGGCAATAGTCATGTGAGTTAAGTCGTGTGACTTTCAAGGGGGAGAGAAAAATGCCTGGGGCTTTTGCTTCAAAGAAATGGATGTCTGTCTACAGCAGAAACTGACAAGTGTAGATTTAAAAAATGACTCAGCATCAACAAAGCAACAGGGCAATGGCACAAGCAGGGACAGTGAAGCTGCATGTACCTGAAGCTGGCAGGGGATGGCTTACTCAAACTAGTCTCCTGGCCAACTGGCACTTTTAGTTCTTTTTTTTGACCCGTTAGGGGATCGCGACCCTCGGCATGGTGTTGTCAGCACCACGCTCAACCAGTGAGTGCACCGGCCATCCCCATATAGGATCCAAACCCGCGGCCTTGGCGCTACCAGCACCACACTCTCCTGAGTGAGCCACGGGGCCGGCCCACTTCTAGCTTTTTTGATGGTGGCCTTTGTGTTCTACACCCTCCTTAGGTAGAGCAGCTGGAACACCACTTAACTTTCCTGAGGACTCTGACTGTATGGGTGCTGCAAGGCACTGGTGCCCTTGGTGTCACCCCCAATGGCTTTGGGTGGCTGCGCTCTGCTCTCTTAGCCACCGCCTCCCTCCAGGCTCACTGTTCTTGCTGCGTGCAGTTGGTGTTTACACAGTGGCTGGGCACAGTCAGTTGGTGCTCTTACACCTCCCTTATCTTGGAAAATGCACAGGCTTTGTGACAGCCATTCTCCCCAGCACTCAAAGGCCAGCTTTGCTTTATTTCAACTTAAAGACTATTCCAGATGGTGGCAGCTAGGGGAAGCCTGACCCAACCATCAGTGTAGAGTTGTTTTTTGTATTCACTTCCTGAATGCAGTTCCAAGACCTCTGCAGTTCTGTTCCCCCTCTTGGGACCTGGGGCTTGGGAAGGAAGCCCATGGGAGAGCCCACAGCTGAGGCCGAGACTTGCCCTCTATGGAATCAGCAGCCAATAGGCAGTTGGGGAGGGTGGGCTCTGTACGTAGCAGTGCCCGCACTCCTGCCCCCTGGAGTGCTGCTTTCTCCTGATGCTGAGGTATCTGTGTAAAGGCAGGTACAGTGGGCAAAGACCAGGGACCTACCTGCTATACTGTCCTTGGTCACCAAAGCAGGGCCCAGGGGGCAAAAGGTGTCGAAAGTTTTTCCCAGCAGCCACTGCTTCCCGTTGCGTCCTATTTGCCAGTCACGAGCACTCACATCATCAGCCACAGTGAAACCAGCCACGTGAGCCATGGCATCTGTGGCCTATGGGGGGAGGGGTTTGGCCTGATAGGTTAGATCACAGATGACACTAGTTCCTACACCAAAGGATCTCAAAGCCTTTATCCCACGTTAATAGGTAGAGCTAGCCAAAGGTGGTAGGCAGGGGACAAGGCAATGTCAGGGAGCAGGTGGGTGCCAACCACTTCCAGTGTCAGGGACAGCTGACCACTGTGTTGGTGAGCAAGGTCAGCACTAGCAGAGGTAGAAGCTGGGACCTCTGTTCCACTCTGGCCTGGGAGCCCACACCTTCCACCTCACCTTGATGTGCTTGCCTTTCTTTCCAATGACCACGGCCAGCTCCACCTCCCAGTCCACCTCCTGTAGAGTAGGAGAGGAGCAGTGAGCTGCCGTGGTTCTGGGGCCTGTTTCCAAGCTGAGAGGCTGCTCACTGTGCCTCATGGCCTGGGTCTCTGACAGTGTGGCTTGGCTGGTGGCTCACATTTGCAATCTCCAGGAACCAGAGCTGAGTGAATGACAGGGTAGGCGTACTTTGGGCAGTGCACTGGATGCAGGCACAGCTCCCCACTGTGACTGTAGAAGAGCAACACATAGCTAGGGGATTGAGTTTAAAGTCACTCCTGATACCTTCATCAAAGTATAAATACCAAGTAGTACTTAGCAATATGTAATCCTACTGTGTGCCAGGCACTATTCTAAGTGCTTTAATTATTAACTCACTTTAATGATAACAAGAAAAAGACCAATATCCCCAAATAAATCTGTGCAAAGGGCTTGAATAAGCAGTTCAAAAAAATTAAATCCACATGGCCACAAAACATGAAAATATGCTCAGCCTCTCCCATAATCAGCAAAATGCAATTGCAAAATAGATACAATTTAGTCTTTCAAATTGGCTGCTATTTCTAATGGTAATAACCAGAGTTGGTATCAGTACATCTGACACCCAGATATTGGTCTCTAATACCACTCCCCACTAAAGGGAACTAGGTTCCTTGGGGAAATGACTAATTTCATGCCCAAGACAGAGGTTACAAGATGAGCCTGGAATATCCTGGCCAGAAAGAAAGTGCTCAAAGTGACAAGGATGGGAACCAATTTGAAGGCCTCTACTGGCCAAAGGACGTCATCTGAATATCAAAAAGAATATAAGTGATGGACTATAAGTGAATGAAAATCAGGATTTCAGTGATACCAAAGGTGTGAAAGTAAGAAAAGGAGGCAGATTTTCTTCACAGAATGCCAGATAATAAAAATAGAAGGCATAATAAGTCATCTTTCTTCAACCTGCAATGCAGTAAATGGATTCAGGTATGGATGGCTACAGGGTCCCTGATGAAAAGCTGGGGATCAACAAGACAAGCACATGATCTCACACTACCACCCTACCTAGGTTATTAATTACAACAATGAAAATATAGCTTGACAATGGAGAGATCTAATGGATATCAAGTAAACCAAGTGGTCAAACTTTATGAAATGCAGAGGGAAGTCCACAGCTCCTGTGTAGAATTCTTGACAGTGTGGGACATGCTGTGAGACAACTTGACTGGATTCTTTGGAAAGTCAGTGTCATGAAAGAAAAGGGCAGAGGAATTATTTGAGATCAGGTGTTGACAAGCTATGGCCAGCTCACTGCCTGATTTTATAAATAAAAGTTCTACTGGAACTCCACCATGTTCGTTCATTTATGTGTCCTTGGTGACTTTTACACAACAGCAGAGTTGAATTGTTGCAACAGAGACCATATGGCACTCAAAGCCTAATATCTGTTAACTGGCCCTTTAAGAAAAAGTCTTTAAGACTCTGTTCTAGATTAAAACCGTTAAAGAAACATAACCAAATACAGTGTGTGGCCCTGACTGATCCTGGATCAACAAACAAAAAAGTAACCAAATTAAAAATCATATTTGGGGCAACTGAGAGTATTCTCGATCAAGAATGGGGATAATTGGAGTATATATTAGATATTATTCATGTTAATTTTCTTAGTTGTCATAGTGGCATTGTGGTCATGCAGGCCATTGTCCTTATTTTTAGGAGATGCATGATTAAGTTTTTATGAGTGAACAGTCTTAATGCCTGCAATTTACTTAGAAAGGTCCTCTCTCCCACCCCATCCCCCAAAAGTGTACGTGTATGTGGGGGTGGGGAGCAAATATGACAAAACGTTAACACTGAAACCAAGTGAAGAGTATATGAGTGTTCATTGTATTATTTTTTAAACTTTTCTATAATTTCCAAAACATTTCTAAAATAAAAATTTGAGAGAAATGTTAACCAGTGTTAGTAAGGGTACATACACTGCTGGTGGGTGTGTAAATTGCTTTTACAACTTTTTTGAAGGTCAATTTGGCAGAATTTCTCATAAGTTTTGAAATGCTGTCTATAGTTTGACACAGACATTCAAATTCTAAGAGTTTATTCCAAGGAAATAATCATGTATTAATGGATGTGCAAAGTCTTTTCTATAAAGGTATGTTCATTGCAAAATTATTTCTAGAAGCCAAAAACTGGAAACAATTTAAGTAATAAAGTCTAGCAATAGGGGACTAGTGAATAAATTATGGATACTGGTACAACATAAAACTATGTAGTAACTTAAAATATTTCAGGGAGAATATTTAATGGCATGAAAAAATATTCTTGATGGAGTCTTGAGGAAAAGGTAGGTATATACACAGTATAAATATATACAGGAATAGAAAAACACTGGAAAGATAAACAGCAAAACAATATTGCAAGCACTGGGCAGTGAGAATATGAATGATTTTTAATTTTTTTTTTACATTTATTTGTAATTTATTAATTTTCTACAATGAAGGTATGTTACTTTTGTAATCAGGAAAAAATGTAAGTTCATATTTTTCCAGGCCATTGTTATTTCTGTACGATCACCTGCAGTTTCTGTTTAACGCACTACTGAGTGACAGGTGGCTCCTGTGGGCTATACGTTGAGCTCTGAACACCCTTGTGATGGGACCCAGTAACTTGGTTGGGGGGCAGCAGGGAGGCACCGACCTGGCTCTCAGGTGGGAGGACGACCTCATCGTAGGGCCCCACGATGGCGCTGGGAAACTTGCTGAAGATGATGGGCTCCTTGGGCACGGGCACGTTCTGTTCTTTGCAGTGGTCCACATAATTCATGCCCACACACACCACCTTGTCTGGTCGCGTGACTGGGGCCAAGAAGGTCACGTCTGACCGTGGTAATACTGGCAACTGAGCAGCCAAAGCTCTGTAGAGACCAGAGCAGGAGAGAGGGGCTGGCTGAAAGCGAGCTGGCAGTCCCATAGCAGGCTGAGGAGATGATGCAGCAGCTACAAGTTTTGCTTTTTAAAGTATATTTTCTAGATCTCTCAATCATCAGAGTCAACGTGAAAATCAAGCCCCACTCCTGTCCTTTGGTATCAGAGCACTGTTTGTTATTTATCCAGTTTCCTTACCCCCAATAGGTAATTCATGTCTATGTAAGAGATTTCAAAAGGTTCGAATGGGAATAAATAGCTCTCTCTCTTGCCCCTCCTAGTCACTCCATTCCCTTCCTTGGAGACAACCACAGTGCCCTATATAGCTCTTCACAGCTGCCCTATGGACACTCTTCTCCTACCCTTTTGTATGCAAATAATAGCACACTACACACACCTTTTTAAAAACAATATATTTTGGAGATCTCTCCATGACAATATATAGAGAGCTTTCTCTTTTTTTCCTATGGCTGCATATTACTGCACTGTAGATACACCCAATTCCCTAATAAGAGATATGTAAGTTGTTTCCAATCTTGCAAAAATATGACAGTATGGGAACATAGTGTCACTGACACAGTGTGCTGTCAAACATTTGTATTTATGCCAACTTAACTTGTGAAAATGACATCTTAAAATGGTTTTAGTTAGTGTTCATCAGCTGTTCAGACCAGATTCCATAGGGCTCCTGACTTCAGGGACACTCCTACCTAATCTAGCCCAAACCCAGGAACCAACTATCTTGGAGAAAACATCTTTGCAGTGTTCTCTCCTCTAAGGAGCCAGGAGTTTAAATCACTCCCCCACAATGCCTCTTAGGACCCCCGTCCCAGACCCCTCAGGCAGGCAGGGACTTAATCCCCTGTGGAAGGCAGTGTGATACACAGAGTCCTGGCCCCACCACCAAAGATGTGGCCTTGGGACAGTTAATCACCCTCTTTGGGCCTCAGTTTCCCCCACTGTAAATTGAGGATGTTGTATGAGATTTCAAAGGCTCTTCACTAAGTGAACAGGTGAGAAAGGGAAGGTAGAGTTACCCTATTCCCTTGTAAGTCAGCTACCTGCTGGCTCTGTTTCCCAGGGCAAAGATGGGGGTGGGAGGAGGGTGGGGGGGACCAAGGAAGCTGCTTCGGGGTGATACTGCCTGCTGACTTACCTTCTTGCCACTGAGAGGGTGGCCTCTCCCAGCTCCAGGAACTGCATCATCGTCTTAGGGAGTGTGGGGTCAAAGGCATTGAGGTCAATGACCCCTCCACCATTCCCTGACTCCAGGCCCAAGTGAGGCCCTGTCAGGTGGGGTGCCTGGAACTGCACCAGTCTCATGTCTCTGGAGGGTTGAAAAGGCGACTTTTGAGCCTGCAGCAGAGCCGTGAGCAGCCTCCTTCTACCAGAGACCAGCATCAGAGCCTAGGGAGAAAAAAAGCCCAGGGGACACAGGGATTCTAGAACCATCATCAGGATCCCCGAAGTTCCTCAAGTCACAGACCAAGTCCCTTTGCCCCCATCAACTGTTCCTGGCACATCACATGGGAAGTGGTACAGATTTGTAAGTTATTTCAGCCTGCTATGCTTCATAAGGTGAAACATTTTTAAAAGAGCAACTCCTTCATGCCAGGCACTAAGCCAGTCCCAGGAATTCTGGCGTCCCGTCAACAAGTGTTCTCCAAAAGTTTACACTGTGCCTGGCACTGCTGTAGGCATTGGGGAAACAATGTAGGTCAGACAAACTCAGCCCTGCCATCTTGCTTGCAGGGGAGGCAGATGCTAACAACTGATAAAAATAAGATTCAGCTATCGAGACTGATACTGTGGAGATAATCAGGGCCTTACCTTTTTATAGCTCCTTGAGGAAGGGATGTGAGCTGTTCTGGCCTAAAATGATCAGAACTAGGAATTAGCTAAGAGTGGCAGCCCAGCATGGGCCAGTGGCCACTGCTGAAATGGGCTTCACAGCTGCCACAAGCAATTTTTTAAATGCTAATTTGATCTGGTGGCCCTCCTATTTAAATGCTTTCCACTGCTTACACGATTAAGCCAGAACTTCTAGCAGGCTGTCCTGGCCTTCTAGAAGCAGGCCCCCACCTGCCTCTCTAGATGGTAATTACTTAGTTTCTCCCACTGGAAAACAGGATGCCAGAGGGAAGAGGCTGCAGGCAAGCAGTGGGGCCCAGGCAGTACAGGCATCATTCAGCTGTCTCCTCCCTGGTTGAGGGGCCACATTTGTCTCTTTTGCTGGAGACCACAGTGCCCAGCACTGTGCCTGGTGCACAGAATACTCTTGGTGACTCTTTGTTGAATGAATATATGACAGAATAGGAGTTTGACTTTTCACAACTTGGGACAGCTTGGAGACTGTCAACCTTGGGAGACATGGCCATGCCTTCCCTCCCCTAATCACCTAGAAGTATCAACAGGGCTCAGGTCCTATTTTGAATTGCAGGATCCACTTAAATACAAAACCCCATTCTCTTGTTTTGGTCTTAATCTAAGTCTGGCCTCCATTCCTTACTACACAGTCCCTCTCCTGCATGGTTCCTTTTTTTTTTTTTTAGCAGCTGGCTGGTACAGGGATTGAACTCTGGACGTTGGTGTTGGTTCTTTGTTTATAAAATAGCCCTTTAGGCCTCAAAAATGTAGAGGTAGCTCTCTGAGCCCCATAGTCTAGGTCCTCACCTGGATGATTCAATTGGCCTTGTCCATTAGGTCACCACTGTTTTGGCCTGCAAGTCTGACCAGAAAACCAGAGGCTTTGAGTCTCCTGCCTTGCTGTCTTACACAAACACAAACTATGCCACTGTCAAAAGGCTGTTTGAGCCAAAATGCGTGTGCTCAGACATCCCACACTAAAATAGCAGTAACTGCTCCCACTGTATTATGTTAAATGCTCTACCTACAATGTCTGATTTAATTCTCTTGATAACTGTGGAAGGTAGGTATTGTTAGCTTCATTTTACAGATGACAACTAAGGCTTACAGAGGTTAAGGGATTTGCCCAAGATCCCATGGTCATAGAGCTAAAAGGAAAGAGCTGGGATTTGAATCCAAGTCAAAGTGACAGTGAAGTCCTTGGTTCAGAAGCCTGGTGTTGTGCAAGTAAGATAATCCAACTTCAACCCCCCCCCCTTCTCCGCCCGGGGGCACTTTAGCCCATAAGGTTGTCATGAAAAGTAGGGACCTCCAACAGGAGATCCCGTAATCCAACAGGAGATCCTCCAAAGGCCCTAAGTGCCCTCAGCCATGCCTGGGGAAACTAGGCACCCGTTGGCTGCTGCCTCAGGGATAAGGCTGGTCATCTGCTCTCTAACATAACCTTAGGCCCCATTGACTGTGCCCTTCCCACATGACAGGCACATGCAGGTTCGTTGCACCCTTACAGGAATCCCCTCAGATAGAGCGCTCCCATTTTACAAAACGGGGCACTGAGGCTTAAAGAGGTCAAGGGTATCTGCCAAGGACGGTCAGAAGGTGGTCCCGGTGCTTCTGCACTAACCACTGTGCTGCAAAGCCCCGGCTCAATCCTACTCTGCAAAAGGGCCTTTAAGCGAAGAGGCAGCAACATGTGGAAACAGCACAAGCATCGCAGCCTGAGACGTCGGTTTCCCTATATGCCCAGCTCCGTCCCCTGCAGTCAGCGGAGGCTCACGAGGGTCCTCCGCACCCGCCCCATCCGTGTGTGGGAAGAAGCTGGGGAGCTGCGTCCAGTCCTGCCCCTCGCAGGAGGCAGGCGCGGGAGAGCCCTCGCTCCTCCCGGCTAGGCCCAGACCTACCTGGCTGCGGCGGCTGGTCCTACCAGGCACCCTGCGCTGTAACGTTAGGGTTCTCGGGCCGGGGGCCAAGGACGGCGGGCGCCCGGACACTGGCACCGCTGACTGCGACCAACCCCGGGTACTACGGCTGCGCGGGCCCCGAGCGGCTCTCCGGATAAGACGCGAGAGAAGCGGGCGCGCCCCGGTGACGTCACAGGACGACGGCCAATGGAAGGGCGCCTCCTTCGGTCCCGGAAGCCGACCCCGAGGGGCGTGCCCAGCGCTGGCGGGTAGGTAGGTGGTCTCCGTGACCTGCCTTCTGGCCTCCGGGCGCCGTCGAGGCGCCTAGGGCGCACGTTTTCAGGAGACAGTCACACTCAGGGCGACCCTGAGCTTGCACGAACCTGAGAGTGAGCATTTTCTGAAATTTTGCGCCCTGGACGCGTCTGTGGTCTCACCCCAGCCCCGGCCCTCTTCTGGGCCAGGCACCGTTCTGATAGTTGGGCAAAAAGTGGTGGAGGAAACCAAGTCACAACGCGTTGGTTGACGAAGACATATATTTTTGTCTTCTGATTTTGACATGTAATTCAGAAGGGGAGGGATGATTGCACCTATTGTACTTATGGGGAACCTGAGGCCAGAAGTGTTTTGCCCGAGATGACACAGGCAGTGAGTAGTGGTGCCGGGATTCTTGACCCCTAAGACCAGCCTTTTCACCCACTCAGCAGCCCTGTCTTCACATGTACTGTGTTGGGTGCAGGCTGGGGTAGCTGGGAAATGAGGCCTAACCTCCAGTGCAGAGAACAGGCATTCCAGTGGAGAGGCAGATTGATTAACCAGAGTTCAACCCAGCTCTCCAGGCCTCTGGCATATGAAGACATGAGAGGCTCTTGGCAAGAAGTCCCCAAGTTAACCAAGAACCAGATAATCAAGGGCTTCACTTGTCCCACAAAGGAGTTCGGACCTTATCTAAGCGCACAGGAGGCTGGCTATTGGAAG